GTAATAGTTTTTATTAATATTTTGAATGAGTTTTTATTTTGATAGTTTCTGGGTTTTTTATTTTAGGTTAAGTTTTAGTAATTTTTGTGTGTTTTTGTCATTTTTATTATCTTTAAGTTATTTTAGTGCTTCAACTTAAACTAAATAAAATTTTAAAAAGTTTTTTATTTTATTTTATTTCAGTTAGCATTTATTTCAAGTAACAAAACAGTTTTTATGGTTTTAGTTAATGACAATGGTTCAGGCCCTTTTACAATTTAATTGTTAGAATCCACCTACAATGCACACATGGTATTGGTATCTGGGTCAATAGTGTTGACTTTGGCCGGAGTCATTGCTTTTGACGGCACTCGTAGGGTGGTGTAAGCAACTGAAGGATGTTACACAAACAGGTGACGGCTCATCACCCTTATAAGGACATGGTCACTGAAGGCCACAGTCATTCCTTTTCTAACTATAGCTGGCAATACAGTAGCACCTTTTGGGAATTACTCACAAATGGACGCAAATGAACCTCTTGTCCCAGATTATCTGATCTTTCCGGGCTCACAGCCAAACCAGAGAGGTTCTGCATAAACAATGGGGAGATATTTCCATTGGGATTAAACATAAAGTGATTTTTCACATGCATGAACACCAGAATACCATAAACAGCCAGGAAGTTTATGATCAAGTAACTGCTAAATGGTAATTAATATCTAATAAAAAGCATAAATGGAAAGAAATGATTACAGTCTACATTAGTCCACAGTCAATTTTACTTTATTGTGGTGAGAATTAGGATTTTTAATGAGAAAACATGTAAGTTTATTCTTAGGAATTGATTAGACTGTGAATAGTGGGAGTTGCATTTGAATAATTATTTATAAAACCAAGAACATGCATTAATAAAGAAAACAGAGTACATTTTGATTTCATTTTTATTTTTAAGAATGTTTTGGTATCGCTTACTGAACTATTTATACTGTTTGTTTGTTTGTTTGTTTGTCTGTTTGTTTTACTAACAAAAAGTTAGATATTTTATAAACCGCTGCTTTACTTCTGTTTGTATTCTCTACAGGCTCTCCTCGGTGGTGTTTTACTAACAAAAAGTTAGATATTTTATAAACCACTGCTTTACTTCTGTTTGTATTCTCTACAGGCTCTCCTCGGTGGTGATCCTAATTTTTGAAGTTGCCTATTTCATTGACACTCTGTTGGCAATGTGCCTTCCGTATGTTTAATAAAATTATAAAGGAATCATGTAATTGTTCTTGTTATGTGATCATCAGTGGTATTATTGTGATTTTAATCAATGCGTTAAAATAATTCATATCTGTTTTTTCTTGCTTGGAGTTGTCCACCCACATTGAAGATTTTCATTCTTTGGAAGAAGATGGCCAAAGTTGGGGGGTTTCAGAAGTTTCTATACTACACAATGATGTCTTTGATGTGTTTCCTGCATCCAGTGCTTGTATGGCATGCTGTAATACCAGGTGCTTCACTTTATTGCGTAAATTATATATTTAAAAAGTAAATAAATAAATAACACATTTAAAGAAATTATAAGCATTATTGTAAAACAATTTAAATAGATAAATATCTGCTAAAAGTTATTTCTGCCAATGTTTAGGAATACACAAGCATACAGATGACCTTAAATCAATTCATTTGGACTTTGTGAGATCTATAAAAATAATAATTTTTAAAGATTTTGATTGGAAGTCAAATCGTTTGTAAAAAATACCCCAAAGAATATTATGGACAGACATACAGGTTAACATGAATTTAGAAACTGTGTCTGTTTCTTTACAGGAATTATGCTGGTAGTGACTGGATTCTTTAACTTCATATTAAGCAAAAAGAAAAAGTCAGATCCGCCTATAGAGTCCAGGGCATCGTATAGTGACCCGGTTCTGTCTTCTGTCTGTGTCACAGACAGGGAGGATGCTGAACACACATTCTCTTTCTTCCACATCATTTCAGGCAAAAGAGCATCTTTTTTTCCTAGCAATAGCCAACTGCATGGCCCCACAGACAGGGCTCAGTCAGTGAAGAATGCCCAACACATGAACAGACAAACAGACACAAGAAATGTGCACTTCATTGAGAGTCTCAGACATAATGATACTGAAATAGAAGAATACCATGAAGTGGAACCAGATGAGACCACGTCAGATAAAGCACCAATGATTAGACTGTAAATGTGAGAGATTATGTTGTTATAAATTATTTTAGCCATGAGGTGCCAGGTGAGACATTAATACAAATACCTCTTTTCAAAATATGACCAATTATTCAAAGAATATTTTCTTTTTCACTTATTCGTGTGAATTTTCAGCAGCCATTACTCCAGTCTTCAGTGTCACATGTTCACAAATCATTCTAATAGTGATTTGGTGCTTAAGTAACATTTCTCATTATTAATGTTAATACATTGATAACATTGTTCTGCGTAATATTTTTGTGGAAATCGTGATTTTTCCCCCCACATGATTGATGGATAAAGTTTAAAAGAATAGCATTTATTTGAGACAAATAGAATTTTTTTCTAACAATATAAACTGGCTTTAATGTCACTTTTGGTCAATTTAATGCATCCTTGCTGAACAATGAAATTGTTAAAAGTAAATACATTTGAAAAGTATTGAGTCACCTAAAAATTGCTTTATGTAGTAACATTTAAATTAACTGGCTTTATTCAAGTATAATGTAATATGACTGAATCAACCTGAATCAGTTTATATAGATATATATGCTCACAGTCTTTTATATCTTTCTTTTACAAGATTGAGCTCCTTAAACAACCTTTAAACACTGTTAACCAAAGAGTTGCTTTTTATTCCGGTCTGTAACCTTAAGCCTAGATCTCCTGCATCCAGTCTCCATGTGTCAATACAATTAAGAGATTCCATTCATCATACTGACCCAGATTAGAGGGTTTTCAGCCTAAAGACTGGACAGCAACCCCCCAGGCGTTATTTCTCTCCATTAACCTTAATGGATGACTTCAACATCCTGAATACTTGAGTATCAGGATATGCTACATTCGTGTGTGTTGTTCTTGATGTACTTCATGGAAAAATATTCAATTACACAGTAAATAAATTCTTTGTGTTGTGAGTCTGTGTTAATTTGTGTGACTCTCCATTTGCTAATGGAGAGTCGCAGATGGGCACTGTTAAAAAAAAAAATCTGAAAAATCTATGAGCATCAATGGGTCATACAATAATGTTTTCTACACCAATAACAAGAATTACAAAAATAGTAAATTCAACTCAAATATCTAACTTCCTTGATCTTCTTTGGCTTAAAAATTTGTTCCCCAATACAAATGTATGCAGTGGGGAATACCCATAAACCCTTGTGCTTTGATGATGTAATTATGTAATCATATAATGTAAGTAGCATTTAAAAAGCTGTTCTTTAGAACTCACAAAGTTTTAGCTCTCTTATTTTAGCATTGTCGATGTTGTTTTAGATAGATGTTTTGAGTGAAGTCACCACTAAGGTGATTAATGTTCAATATTTTCTGTTTGTCTCCACACAAATGAATACCAGAAGTGCAGTTTTGTGTACCTGTAACGCCCCTGTGTCCTTATTTGGTTGTTCCTGTCCTCATTATTAGTTAATTACCTTGATTGTGCTCACCTGTCTGCCCCTCGTTATCCACCCTATATTAGTTCCTGCCTCCTGTAGTCTAGTTTGTCGGTTATTGTGAATGTTACCCTGAGTGTGTGTGTCTCATCTACCTGTATCTGCCTTGTTGTCTCTACATTAAACATCCTTATTTGAATCCTTGTCGTCCTCGTCATCCTGCCTGCCTCCACACACCTTGACCGTGACAGTACCTTTGTGGGAAGTTAAGTTTATTTAATGTATGGTTGAGAGTCATAATTTCCTTTCCATATTTAACATTATATTATTATCTTCTCTAAATTTGAGTCAATTCAAGTTAAGTCGAAACTGATATTTTAACACAAATCTGAGATTAATCTACTTGTAGCTTGCTAACCTTATCCAAAAATGAAAAAATCTGTCATCATTTACTCACCCTCATGTTGTTCCTTTTTTTGAGGAACATAAAAGAATAAATTTTTACAGTGGAAGTCAATGGTCACCAAAACGGGTTGGTTACCATTATTTTTCAATATAATTTGCAAAGAAAGAAAGTCATGCAGGTTCAGAAAGACATAAGGATGGTGTAGCTACATAGAATTATAATTTTGGGGTGAACTCGTTAAATTCACTCTTTGTGAAGTTCACAGCTGAAAGACACTATCATTTACCTACTTCTCAGTACTTATCAGTCAACAAATTTACTGACTGAATTATTTTTATATAGGCTAGTATTTAAGTAGGAATATAGTATTTAAGTAGGGTTTAGGGTTTACAGTGTGAAGTAGGCTATATACTTTGTTTCTAAATTCATAAAAAGTTCCCATATTTGGCAGTGCCGTTGATATAATCATTTCCCTTCCCATGGGGGAAGAGTCTTGGCAGCTCAAAGCATCTGCTTCCTCAAATATTTTATCCGACCTTTCGGTGTCATATTTTCCTAGATGGTATTCTCAGACTGAGCTAAAAACAGGAAACTATCTAGCATTGCTTATATTCGCGTACTTACATGTTAATCCTTACACATTTTATTTTAACTAAAGCTTTAAAATATCAAAATTCTCCTGTTTAATGAAGCTTTAATATGACAGGTGGGTCGAATGCAATTTAACGGCAATCTTTTATTTGCAGCTTAATTGTCTCAGGGTTATCGCAAGACTAGTGATAATTATCTCACAGACATGCTAATAATGGTGTGAACGGTCCCGGCGTTTCCCAGGGCAACCGCAGAAGACTCCTGCCCACGGACGTCTCTGATTGGCTCATGTAATCAGCGGAGTGTCGGATTGGTTTACACAGCTGGCAGTCTTCTCAATGAGTAGCGTTATTTTGACCGTCTATTCCCTGAGGAAGCAGCAGGGTGAAGTGGAAAGATAAGACGTTGTGTCTTACAAAACAGCTGGGTTCCGTCTGCTCTTACAAAGGAACGGCGTTTCATGAGATGGTAAGAACAATATATGCAAGGAAATAGAAAAGATGTGTTAGACAAGAGTGCATTATTAATGGAAATGGTTTCATTTGAGATGTTTTTTTTTCTGAATAATTCTGCAGGTGAGCTGTATGTACTGCTGTCTTTTTTGAAGGCTTCCTAGGCTTCTTCTGAAACTTCTCAGGTAGGCCTACGTGACTTTATGCAGTTGACAAAACAAACTGTACTTGAGTGAATCATCTGACAAGAGTACATCTGCACCAGGTGTGTCAGGATTGTGATATTTTCTGTAATGTGTACATGTAATGAAAGCAAATCAAAATAATAGCCCATATGAAACTTATGTGTTTTGCCTGTGTCTTTCAAATCTTCTGCAAAATAGTGACACAGAAATCCAGAAGTGGTTAAAGACTCTATATGCCTGATATATTTCTGCAGTTGAGAGTCACAGCTGGTTTGCAGTAATTGATTGGGTGGGCAGGGGGCTTCACAGTGTCATTTCTTTATGCAGGTGGAGAGCATCTCTAGTCGTGACCCCTTGTTTTTAAATTGGTCTAATGCATAAATGGGATTCTTTCTGGTAAACACAGTAGATTGTGTTCTTTTTTTTTCTTTTTCTTGAAAGGCGTTTCTTGCCATGAGACTAAAGTGGCATATTTAATATTAATGAGAGTGGTCAAAGACAGAGGTGGGGTTAGTTCATAGAATATTCAAATTATTTTCCTTCACTGAATAGAATGCTTTTTTGTTGATTTTATTATATGTTTTTATATATGTGTAGTTGTATTTTTAAAATTAAATGTCAGATTGCTTTCTTTTAAATACGGACATAAAATGATATAAGCTAACTATCACATCAATTGCACAAAACCATGCAAAAACTTTTATAAGTTTTTATTAGAAAATAGCAGTACAAAATATATATATACACACATTCCATCTACATAATACATATATAATTTATTTGTGCAAATAAAGGACTGGCAGGGTAAATGACAAAGTACATGCACATAGTCTTTCTACACAGAAAAGGTAAAGATTGATTAATGCCTCTTGGGCTTTTTTGGTCCATTCTTCTTCTTGAGCTTCAGACAGACCTTCTTCTTCTGTGTGCTGAATTTAATCCTAGACAATAGAACAGTGAAAGGGTTTAATTATTGGGGAGGCCCGCAAAGCTGAACAAGCAAAAACACATGTTCTCAACCCTAAATCAATGCACACCATTAATGGCAACGTAAACACTTAAAATTCACTAGAGACCATATTTATTCTTACTCGAACATCCCTGAAAGCATCAGCAGCTATATACAATTTGTATAATGCAAGGCTTCTAGTGCTGCATATAACAAGTATTTTTATTTATATTTTTAAAAATATCATATTACTTTAAAACATTGTCAATATTTTTTATGTATTTGACAATATTATTAATGTATTAATATGCTGTTATAGCTTTTGTACCTATGTGGTGTGCAGAGAGGGGAGCTAGTGAATCTTTAGAATGAGTATTTTCATGATATTATTTGCTTCTTCCACATAGTGGCAGTGTTTTTCACTTTATTCAAATTAAAAACCTATATGAGGTTTGAAATTGGTGTACTTAATTCATACTTTTTCACTTTTTTTTATTAGTGTATTAATGTTATAATCATTGATACTAATTATAATCATTTAATCATAAATGTTATGTGAACGGCGCTTTATTGTGCCATCCCAAAGAGACACAAAATCACTTTCTCTGACTTTTAAATTAAATGTTCCCTCCTGGTGGAATGACCTGCCCAACTCAGTCCGAGCAGCTGAGTCCTTAGCCATCTTCAAGAATCGGCTAAAAACGCATCTCTTCCATCTTTATTTGACCCTCTAAATCTACCACTCTCTATTCTAATTCTATTCTTTATAAAATAAAAATAAAAAAACTTCCCCCTTTTAGACTTGCACTCTATTTATTTACTAACTGCTTGTTTTCTTAAAAAAAAAAAAATAACACTTGCTTCTCTAATCTTTTTGCATTCTATCTATTTGTTTTATTTTTATTTATTATACAATTATAATTCTGACTTTCTGAATTCTTCTGATTAACCAAAGCAAAAAAGGCCTCTAACACTAGCTTGCTCTATTCTTTTTCTATTCTATCTGTTTTCTTTTTATTTATTATATGATTTAAAAACAAAACTTGCTACGTGTACTGCATTAAGCTAACTGAGACTTGTTATAGCACTTGCATATCATTGTTCTTTTGTTGATTTTGATTGCTTCCATTGTCCTCATTTGTAAGTCGCTTTGGATAAAAGCGTCTGCTAAATGTCTAAATGTAAATGTAATAATCAAATCGTTTGCAGCGTGATCAGAGGGCAGCTGTTGTTCACATACCTTCTCCAGCATCTTTGTAGTTTTTTCCCCTGCTTGGACTCTGGATTTAGACAAGCTCGTTTACCTGACAGCTGGAGTCTGTGGAGGAGAACAGTGTGTTTTTAAATGTGTGCAAACCACTGCAAGCTATAAGATACAGCAACATTTGATCGGAGGCATTTACTCATGCCACCTTTCCAAATTTGAAGTCTTATATTTGAAGTCTTATATTAATTATACCGAAAATTAATTTAATCTTTGCATTGTTTGATCATTACTTAGACTATTGTAAAAGTGTTTTTACTAAAACAAACTTAAGCCTCAGGCTTAAGGTGAATACAGGTAAAGTGAGACATTTTAGTTTTGCATTTCACATTTCTTCCTTTTTCCTATTTGTTGTTTTCTCTGACGCTATTTAAAGTAGTATTTTGTGAGGGGTAAGTCAATTGGCATCATAATATCAATGAAAAATTATCAAAAATTGTCCCACTGCATCTGTGTTCACTAGATTTTGCCATAAAAAAGCTAATATTTCCAGTTTCTTGAGGAAGAGTTCAGTGGTATTCGTGATATTTATTCGCATCATGCCCACTCATGCCAAAATTTAAATGAAACTAATCTAATGCAAAATTTATCTTGCCATGGCTTGGTTTTGGGCTTCCCTCCAGATAAATGATCCCAACTCACGATATGTCTCAACATGACATGTTGTGTAATATCCTCACACACAGTTAACAAATACATGGATTGCAAAATGTCCAGGAGGGATATAATTGCATGTTAATTATTACAGACTTATAGTTATAGACTACAGTAAAAAGTACTGAATTTAGTAGAATATTACAAGATTTGCTTGGAAGCAGGGGCATCATGCACATTGAGAGGTCACATTCACTTACTTAATATATATATATATATTTTTAAAAGATGGTAAAGCATAATTGCATTTGGCCAAGACTGGCAGTAATCACCAAACTTTTTTAAAAATGCAAAAAAGCAACATTGACATAATAACACCTTTTGTGTTCCACATGAAAAAAAAATAATGTTTTGAGTGACATGAGGGCGATACACGAATTTCAGTTTGAAGCAAATGATGAGCCAAGGTGTGGCTCGATCGGAATTTCTGAATTTAGACATGATTTCCACAAAAGTGTTTTAGACAAGAAATACTTTCTACGACAATGTATCAAAGGTAAATTTTTTTCGGAAGCTGCACATAAAATCCACTCATCTCATACAAAATCCACTCATCTCAAGAAAGGGAGCACAACACATTCAGATACACCTGAATGAGAATGATGCTTTCTTACTCACATGATTTGAACCTTGTTGCAAAGAGGATCTTTCTGTATGATCGTGTAGTCTGTAATTTTTCTCCATTGCACTGAGCCAGTTTCCTCAGCACACTCACATTTTTCTCGAATGGATATTGCAGCGGCCCTGTTATCTAAAGACAAATCCAGAAACATAAAACAATGTGTCCCACATCACCTCCATGACCAATATCTGAAAAATCTGTAAACTGTCCTGATAAGTATTTAAATGCTACTGTACCTGTGATGAAGTATAAGCAGAATGAGATTAGGAGAAGCGGGCAGACACTTGCTTGCTGAGTCCTGAAAGCCATTTCTCTAAAGCTGCGTCATTCACAAGAATGTCTCTCGAGTGTGTTTGCACTAGAATGTGCACAGAACGGTCCTCTTTTTATTCCTCACTTTCCCTCCTTAATGCATTTCCTGTTTTGCCATATTAAGCAGGATCAGAGTCACATGATTTCAGGTAAATGCTTTGAGACAGGAGAGGTGATTTCTCAACACCTGTGTACCTATATTGTGTAGGTTAGTTTTGTTGTCTGGAATGCTATTGTTGGTTATATGGTTAAATTGTTCAGAAAGTTTTTATTTGATCATATGCTCTTCTGTATCCATTTAGGATTATTTGTTCAAACTGAACGGTTCCCACACATTTGCCCAATGAGTTTCCAAGACATTTCCATAACTTTTATTAATATATTTATACTAATAACTAGATTTTATACACACACACACACTATATATATATATATATATATATAGTGTGTGTGTGTGTGTAATGCAAAGAAAATGTATTGAAATCAGATAACCATGTGCTTCAGATAACCATGTGCAGTTCACTTTACTTCACTCACTTTTCATGTGGTATATTATATTATATTATATTATATTATTTAAAAAGACTGAATCAACCTGACTGCATTAGGTTATACCATCAAAAGTAATATTTAAGGGTTTAATAAGGTAGAAATATTTCCTTAGCAATTGCATTGCACTTTTTACAGTGTAGAAAAGCTGTTATTTTATTACAGAAAATTAATTTCCAAAAATGTAACTTCTCCAGGTCTGGAACCTTGTGGGAACCCAACATTAAGTTAAACCTTCAGCATTGTACTTTGTTAGCATTTTGGTATTTTGATATTACAGTCTAGTAAATTAGGCATATATATATATATATATATATATATATATATAAAATTTAAGACATGAATTTAAGAATTGTATAGCAGAATATAGTCCTATGTAAACAAACGTGAGAACACAAGAAAGTGGAGAATCACATTGAAGTTCTCTTTTTGTGTTAGTTCATGTTTATTATATTAGTTTATTTTATATTAAACTGTAAAAAAGCATTTTCTTCTTGTGATCACTGAATATATATTTATAAGAATATATAAATTTAAAATAACAATATATAAGAATATATACATTTATAAGAATTTATAAGACATAAATCTGTTTCTACAGACTGGCCAATATGTAAGACCTGTATAGCATTGCATATCTCGTCCCTGTAAAACACGTCAAGGTTAGAAGCTGTCCCTGTTGTATCATGTCTTCATTATATGCGTCCCTTGGCCTCCATAGACATGTGCACTCCTCTGAATTCAGCCTTTTCTTATGTCCTTGGCTTGTTTAGTGCATATGAATGTACAGCAGGGCTAAAGCACTTTGCACAGGCTTTGAAGAGCATTCTCTCCTGTGGATCTCTTACGTTCTTTGCCTCAGTATCTTTAGTATTTGAGGTTAAGACGTGACCTTCCTGGATTTAACATGCTTCCTGTTTCTTCGCCTTGGCTTTTGATCTTGTTGGTGTATGCATTTTTTGCTGTCCTTGCCATCCTTTTGTGTGCTGAGAAAAAAAAAACTGTAGAATCAAGCTCAGCAGATAAGAGTCACAGTCCATCATATTTGGAGATGTTTGGAGTGTGTGTTGTTTGGATAAGCTGTGCTGTAGTTTAGAGACTCATTCAGTAATAACACTCTCTTACCTTTGCCAACATTTCAGCAGTCTTTTGCCTTGGCGACCTTCCGGACTAAGACACACGTGATTATTATTTTTCTGCCGTATAACTCTAATGAAAAATACAGAGAAATAATAGGACATGTAAATCCAATGGTGCATGTACATTTAGAATCTTATGAAGTAAAATGTATGAACTTACATGATCTCATCCTGTAAACAGTTAGGTCCTTTTGGAGTGACTTTGAAATCTGAAAATGGTCCCTTGATTCTTATTTTAGCCTGTGGACACTGACAGGTCTTTGGAACATACTGACTCTCCACCACTTGGACTGTATTTAGAAAAAAAAGTGAAATTATTAAACAGCAATTATGTATCAAAAAGGTTCATTGTCAGTAAGGTTTTGTATTTTTTTCTTTTAAATAAATTAATAATTTTATTCAGCAATGCATTTAAATGATCAAAAGTGACTATAATGCTTTGATACATTTAAAATAAATGCTGTTTTTATAATCTTTCTATTCATCAAAGAATCCTTAGAAAAACTATCACTGTTTCCACAAAAATATTAAGCAGCACAAATTGTTATAATAAAAAAAAAATGAATGAGCACCAAATCAGCATATTAGAATGATTTCTGAAGGATCATGTGACCCTGAAGACTGGAGTAATGAAAATTCAGATTTGCCATCACAGGAATAAATTGCATTAAACAAGTAATTTTAAATTGTAAAATATTTAACAATATTACTGTTTTACTATTCAGCCTTGGCATAAAAGACTTCTTACAAAAGCATTAACAATGTTTCAAACGATAGTATAGAATTAAAATAACTAAATTATTATTATAATTAAAATAATTTGTAGTTAACTTGTACAGCTTGTTTTGCAGAGATGTAAGAAGATTTAATTAAGTAGAATTTTGCCAACTCAGGTATAACCCAGCAGGTGCTCAGTTACTGTTTTAGTGGGTCTGGGATTCTACTGTAGTTCATCTGTTCTGATCCACTCACCTGTTAGGAGGATGCCGAGGTTGAAAGCCAGCAAAGCATGCACTGTCAGTGTCATGTTGAAAGTGTTTCTGTGTGCAAGTGCTCAATGGCCTGCTGTCATTTTATACTCCCTATGAGGGACTTCCCAACTTTGGTGCCACTCCTGGAAATTCCAGTGCTTTGTTGCTACTCCCACGGGATCAAACCATTTGAACACAGATAATAGAGAGTCATTTCCAACATCACACTACTGTAGAAATCTTTAAAAACTTGGTCACATGTACATTAAGCAGCCTATGAGGAATTCTCTGTTCACATTTGACCCAAAAATGTAAATTCTGTCATTATTTTCTCACCCTCATGTCGTTCCAAAACCATATGATGTTTTTTTTTTTTTTTCACTATTAAAAAAAACTTCTGAAGCAATATGTATAGTTTAATGTGTGGAACAGACTCAAATTCATTTTCACAGAAAATATCCCTACCCTTAAAATGGAATCTCATTTGCAACCGTGTCAGATTCAAAAGTGCCAAGTCAACATCTCAAACCAGCCACTAATCATGGAGGGGCAGTTTTGAATACTGATATAGAGAAAGAGATTTGAGAGCTGCAATGGTGTGAATAATTAAATTATAATTATATTTATAATAATTACATAATTCTCAGTGAATAATTAAAGTCATTTGGGCTAATTTTATAGTGTTTTTTCTCTTTTGGAGTTTGTATTAATTTTATTTTTCATATTTTTCCAATGAAAAAAGTGATTATTCTGTGACCTTTCAGAAGGTTTGAAAACATGTCATGGCAAGCCTTACGGCAAGATGACACATTCTGTATGTAACTGTAGGACCATGTGATTTCCCCATATTCCTGTGATTACTTTCACTTGATCCTCCTGCACAAGATTCATACTGACATTGATTCATTTGGATGATGAAAAAATTTTTTGAAGTCACATTACACATGGTATGTCTCTATTCACTGTTAATCATTCACTCAACCTTTTATATTATTAACTTTGTCTCGTTCTCCTTGCTTTCTCTCCCATTGTCTTGCTCTTCTCTAGCTGAAAGCCTTTCTATTGAGGAACCCCACTATGGATCCTGACAAGACCTCCTATGTGAGGTTGAATGAGGAGAAAGTAATTGCAAAGTAAGAGTTCCACTTTTGATACACACTAAACATTAGAAACATGCCTTCTAACTAAAAGCCCTTGTTGTTAAATCTTGTCTCTTTTTCAGGTCTGATATTTTGTCCCTTCTAAAAACGTACAACTGTTACCACGAGGGAAAAAGCTTCCAGCTTAGGATTCGTGAGGTATGTTAGGTCACAGATAGTGAAACTATCTGTGGATCTAAATCAAATCTTTTGTTTCCTGGTTAGTGATTAATAGATCTAATCTGGCCAAGACTTGAGTCGAAGTGTGTGAGACTGCAAAACAAAAAGATTATTGTCTCAGAATAGGAATGTGTGACACTGGAGTAAATCCAAGTGCACCATTCTTAAAGGGGTCATATGATGCAATTTAAATTTTTCCTTTCTCTTTGGAGTGTTACAAGCTCTTGGTGCATAAAGAAGATCTGTAAAGTTGCGAAGACTAAAGTCTCAAATCCAAAGAGATATTCTTTATAAAAGTTAAGAGTCAACCACGTCTACCTAAAACGGCTCGGATTAAATGGTCCTAGATGACATGTGATTGGCTGCATTTTTAGCATAACCTATCCCAGACTGAACTATAACATCATTAGAAATATGTATTATGAGCTATCATTATTATATTGCTCTGAAATACTTTTTGTGACTTAGTTATTTAATTTATAATTATACTGTATATTATGATCTTATATAGAGTGCTTGCATAATTATTATTATTATAAGTTGTTATTCTGATCATATTTTATTTCCAAGCACATGTTACAAATTCCAAACCACATCAATCTAAATAACTACTCTTAATTTTGTCTTTAATCATTTATAAATGATATATAATTGCCAATGAAGGATGGAAGTGAAAAACGCCTTATATTCAGGTGGGCATAATTATTAAGGAGGTTTTCTTTTACAGATAAAATGAGCCAAAAAGAGATTTGACTCAAATTGAAAAGTAAAAAATTATTAAATGGCCATGAGAAGGATGCAGTACTAGAAATTGCAAAGTTAAGGCATGACCATTGGACAGCGAAATGCTCATTGGGTCAGACAAAAAAAACAGGTGGAGAAGAAAAGACACATTAACTGCAAAATAATTAATGTGAAGAATTAGGTGTGAAACCATCAGGAACCCTTTAGTCTCCAGTTCCACCATTTTCCAGAACTGCAATAATTATGCACACACTGTACTGTGTGTGTGTGTGTGTGTGTGTGTATATATATATATATATATTTATTTATATAAATAAACCACATTATAATTCAAAGTCTATATTACTTTGTTAAAGAAAAAAATATGTGGCTTTACGTATCTATTGGTCAGTGATACCAAAAAACTCCCTTTATCCCTTTATCAGTTTTCACACTGATGGCCCTTACAAAGTCAGGGGAGAGATGCAATCATTTACTGAAATATCTACAAATTATTTACAATCTGTTTCTGTCAGTGAACATGACCAAGAGTACAAACAAGCTCCTAATAATTTCCAATTTTATCTTGACAAGTAACTTAACAAGTTTTTTTAAAAGGAGGTTTGTCTGATCTGTCAGCAAACAGGACACAATCTGTCACAATGTTATGATCTGTTAAATCTGTTGCAGTCTCTGGGAAATCCCTGCTGGCTGCTTGTGTTTTTAGAATGAGTTTGGTCAAATTTAACCTCGGTCAGTATGAATGTGTGTGAAAATACTTTATATGCATAATATATTACTTGCAACTAAATGCCATAAATGGAACTGGAAGTGCTTTATTCATAAATATGCCACATTTGTACACAGTGCAGACTGGAAGGCCATAAAAGTTGGATGCTTTTATGCGTGTATGTGTGTGTGTGTGTGTGTGTGTGTGTGTTTTACAGTATTTGACGTCTTTTTGTTTGTCTCTGTGTGAGGGAATGGTTTACTTTAAAATCTTATGTGACGGAATGAAGAGAGTTCATGCTCAAACATTTCTTCAGCTTACTTTTACACATCCTTTTTTTAAATGTATTATTAAAATTTTTTTGTATTGTTGAATCTGAATAATTTACATTTGGCAAAGTTCTAGGATCTAAATGATGACATGCCTGTGATGAAAAACCCGTTTAGTAACTCCAGTGAGTAACTGCTCATTGAGGACATTTCAGAAAATTAGTTTTTCTTTTATTCAAGATGATCACATGAGGCTGAGTCACAGGTAATGTGAGAATAAACTTGTATACCATGTGATAATAGCTGTTTGGAGAGAGAAAGAGAGAGAGAGAGAGAGGGAGGACAAATAAGTACAGAGATTGATTAAAGACACGTTGCATAATGTTCAGGGGAAAGTGAGAGTGCTGAAAGTAAATGAGTAAGTGGTGGATTGCAGGAGCCTAGTAAAGTAAGTATTCATGTAGCAGGGGTTGTCATGCTTCGGATCCATGATAGCGTAGCCTACTTCTTATTGGACTTAAACCAGCAACTTTCTATGTAGCAGCCCTGTCACTATGTTGCATCTGTGTTAATTAATGCAATTTTTTTGTATTGTTGAATCTGAATAATTTACATTTGGCAAAGTTCTAGGATCTAAATGATATGCCTGTGATGAAAAACCCGTTTAGTAACTCCAGTGAGTAACTGCTCATTGAGGACATTTCAGAAAATTAGTTTTTCTTTTATTCAAGATGATCACATGAGGCTGAGTCACAGGTAATGTGAGAATAAACTTGTATACCATGTGATAATAGCTGTTTGGAGAGAGAAAGAGAGAGAGAGAGAGAGGGAGGACAAATAAGTACAGAGATTGATTAAAGACACGTTGCATAATGTTCAGGGGAAAGTGAGAGTGCTGAAAGTAAATGAGTAAGTGGTGGATTGCAGGAGCCTAGTAAAGTAAGTATTCATGTAGCAGGGGTTGTCATGCTTCGGATCCATGATAGCGTAGCCTACTTCTTATTGGACTTAAACCAGCAACTTTCTATGTAGCAGCCCTGTCACTATGTTGCATCTGTGTTAATTAATGTGAGTGAATTAATTATTGCTTTAGACAAGATCATAGCAGGTTTTAAATACATCCACTTAAAATCAACTTAGAAAGTTTAGGAGATTGTCATGTTAGATTTTAATTAATAAAAACAAAACAAACCATTTTTGTGAGCATGTTGTTGTTGAACCTGGGAACAATTAGTCACTTCTGGTAAATAAGCAAGGAAGGAAGGAAGTAGGTCTAATATGTTTTTAAATGCCCTGAACTGCTAAATCATCTTCATTTTATACATTGTATTTTATCATAATACACAGCTAACTTTGAATGACCATCAGCAGAGATAAACGATTGTTAGGTTTAGATTGTGTAGTGATTTACGTAAATCACGTTAGATTACTTTTTCCCTTCTCCTTTTCCTTTCACGTGACATCTGAGGACAGTAGCTTTCAAGTTGGTCCGCGGCTAACTGCCATTGAGGTAAATTTATCTAGTTTAACAGCCTAACCTACTGTTAATAAACGGCTCCATCTAGAGGTTATTGTAAGGAAACACTTCAGCGCAAAATCATATTGCTTCTTGGTGTTTGTTTAGACTTTGGTTTTGAGAGTTGAGAGATTATTCTCAAGACTCCGCAGAACGCAGCGGCCACCCACAGTCTGTTCTTTTTTTTATTTTTTATTTTTTTATTACAAAACTTGTAGAAACATACAGAAACAGGGAAGCGAGACATGAATATATTCCAACAAAAGGTTTACTTTAAAGGTGTTTACAGTATCTGCGAAGTCCAAAAAAATCAAGGCCACCTTCACTTCTGGAGTTAGCAAGCACATCTCTTTTTAATTTGTACGGTCTATTTTTCCAAATAAAATCCAAAAATATTTTATTAATTTCCTTTATAGCTTTATCGTTGACAAACAAAGAAAGAGCAGAATATACAAAGTGAGAGAGCCCTTCAACTTTAGATAAAAGAACTCTACCATATAATGAAAGATCTCTCTGAAGCCAGATGTTAAAGATCTGTTTCGTTTTTATCATTTTATCAGAAAAGTTTAAATGATGTCTACTGATTGAGTTTTTAGTGATATGAATTCCTAAATATTTTACACTTTTTTTAACTAGGACACCTCCTAAGAATATATCATCCATGTCATGAATTGACATAATTTTAGTATTAAGTATTAAGTATTAAGTTTTAGACCCGAAGCACATGAAAATTGTTCAACCAATTCCAGAGCTTTTGGTAACTGATTTTTGTCCTCCAAAAACAGCGTAGTGTCATCTGCTAGCTGCGCCATTTTGATCTCCCTGTCAAATATTGAAATTCCTTTCAAATTTTCATCTTGGTTAATTCTTAGACAGAGTAACTCTGTGGCTAAAAGAAATAAAAATGGGGAGATTGGACAGCCCTGTCTGACTCCACATGATCAGATAAGGGGGCAATGGTGTGAGAAATATCTTTTACGTAGCTGAGGATAGAAGAAGAGATTAAAAATAAATCAATCCTAGATCTAAGAGACAAAGTTTTATTTGACCAGGTAAAATATTTCGTATAAGGGTTAAAGAACCGGCATGCATCAGTCAGGGAGAGATCCTTGCAAAGAGAAAAAATTTAATCATTATTCTTTCCACCATCAAGTCTAGGGGGGTATCTGTCCAGACAATCATCCATGCATTCGTTGAAATCTCCTCCCAGAATAAAATAAGCATCAATATATTTCCTATTTACCTTCCTAAGTTTATCCACTAAATGAGAGAACATTACTCTGTTGGATGCACGAGAGTTGTGACCATATACACAGCAAGCTATGAAGGTGGCATTATCTTGTTTGATTACAGCAATAACCCATCTGCCTTCATCAGAGCTCAGAGTTTCTAAAACGGCCCCTTTAAAACGGTGTAACATAATAGCAGTCCCAGCCGAGTGATTGCTACCATGCCCACAGTCTGTTCACTGAGCTTCTGATTGTACATGTTGCGCGCAAAAAATGCGACTTTACACAACGTGTAAAAGAAACAGAAAATGTTAGAAAAACGATAATTCTGTAAAAATTCTGTAATTCTTTTAAAGGGGTCATATGACGTTGCTAAAAAGAACATTATGTTGTGTATTTGGTGTAATGCAATGTGTTTATGCGGTTTAAGGTAAAAAAAAAAACATTATTTTCCATATAATGTACACTATACATTATAATATAACTAGGCTGGTTCAGGAAACAGTCCTCATCCATCCTCCATAAAATGTGCTGCACACATCTGAATATTTGGGTTAAACTGTTCTGGAACAGTGTTGTAAATACAACTTAACCACTGATTTCTAGTCGTGTCCTCTTTTGGAACGCCAAATAAAGTAGTTTCGCTTTCACAACGAAACACAGTGACTCCACAACATGGCAGCAGCAGCAACAGCCAGAATAAAAGTTATGCCTTCTTTTTTTAAATTTTTTTTTTATTGCAAGTATAAACAACATTCAACAATTAATGTAACATTGGATGACATTATGAATATAAAAATTATATAGGAAGACAAAGAAGAAGAAAAAAATAAGAGAAAAAATAAAAATAAAAAAGTTATGCCTTCTTTCTTTGCGTCTTCCCACATCGTGATGTAGACATGTGGGGGCGTGTTAGAATGCGCCGTTTTAAGAGGGTGTGGTTGACTCTTAACTTTTATAAAGAATATCTCTTTGGATTTGAGACTTTAGTCTTTTCAACTTTACAGATCTTCTTTAGGCACCAAGAGCTTGTAACACTCCAAAGAGAAAGGAAAAATTGAAATCGCATCATATGACCCCTTTAAAAACTTGCTCTGACAAGGGAGAGAACCCGTCTATCCGCCCGCAAGTAACGGTAAGACTTTTTAGCTCAAAGCGCTGACTTGGCTCATTCTGTAAAGCCGGGAACACACTAATGTCAGGCCGATTATGAATGTAATTTGTGCTCAGATAGGTGTTTTCAGTCGGTGTTTAAAGTCGTGTAGTGTGCGGTGTCTAAAGTATTTAAGACCAGCTGTTGCCAGTCCTCCTCACAAAGATTATTTTCATAAATTTAGTTAGGCTACTGACGCCGGCGACTTACTGCACATGTTTCTAAATTTGTAGGTCTATTAATTTAAATAACGAATTAACAAATTTTAAAAATCACAAACATGACATTTCTGAATAAAATAATTTTATACACTTTAGTTATATGTAATATAGCCTATTTGAGGAAATAATAGGCTATGATGAGGAAATACAGTGCCTTGAATAGGCTACATTCCGAATAAAAAAAGCCGCATTTCATCTTCGCTCTAACTGATACTCTTTGTATGTGGACAGGTTGTAGCTAATCTGCAACAGTAGCCTAAAGAAAACACTTTTTTTTACCAACATGTTTCCTCCGTCTTCAGGCGGCAGGTCAGAATCAGAGCGTTCACTGAGCGCCCTTTGCTTGTTGTGTTTAGACAGTGGTGTAAAATTAAAAAGTTGCATGCAGCCAACAGAGGACGCCCTTAGATTCTGAAATGGACTTAAATGGATAGTTCACCCAAAAAAAGATTTTGTCATAAATTACTCACGCTCATGTTGTTCCAAACCTTTACGAATTTCTTTCTTCTGTTGAACACAAAAGAAAATATTTTGAAGAATGTCAATGAGTAAACGATGACGGATTTTATTTTTGATGAACAATCCCTGTAAGGGATCCCTTTATCTCTCACAAATACTGTAGTGTCATCTCTTGCCTTGGGGACCTGATATAACAGCATATGTGGGTTTTAACCACAAAGAAAATTGCTGTTGTATTTTAGCCTCTGGCTTTGTTTTATTTGCATAAATTGCTCAAGGGATAATACTGTGGGAAGCTTTTCCTGATCTGTGAAAATGAAAGTATACAGAATCTTTATGTCAGTGATAGATAGCTAGTACTGCCATAACATATTTAGAAGCTGATTGTAATATGTTGCAATTTTGTATGTCCTTTCTCCCCTATATCTTATCTATGCTTAATACATATCTAGATCATGTGATGTGTACTTATACATATCATTAATATGTATAAGCACTTATAAATATACATTAATATTTATACATGACTGACTATAATTATATCATTAGCATTTCTTTATCAGGTTTAAACAAACACATTCACTCACACAGAGATAGATAGATAGATAGATAGATAGATAGATAGACATTTTAGTCAAGGTCACATAAAATACATTCTTAAATTTTATTACAAAAAAGCAACATAGAAAATCATGACTGTAACAGCTTGTAAACATTAGCATCTTTGTGCAAAAAGTCTGTTCAGACAATAAATTAAGAAGTTCAGTTCATGAGATCCTCCATTGAGTTCATCCATCACTCGTTCGGTATTATCCTCCCATCAGCATGTCTTTATGCTTTGGCTCATTAGAGTAACCACAAAGCAGCAGGTGCACTGTCAGTCCTGCGCAAATCCTCTCCGTGTGACTGTAAGTGAGTCTGCGCAAACAACCAGTCCAGTGGGTCTTTAGTGCCGCGGTCCACCTGACTGTTGAACCTCAGCATGACCTCGTCCAGACCCAGGGAAGCACGGCGGGGCTGCAGAGCCCGGGAAGCACTGCGTGACGTTGAAGTAGAGCCTGCATGCTTCCCCACGGGCTTACGCCTCTGAGTCCTGGATATCCTCAAAGGGCCACAAGCAGGCTGGGCAAGTTCTTTGATGGAGTTCATGTATTCCTCCAGGGACTGAGAGAGGTCCTCGTGCGACTCTGTTATTGTCGGTAGTGGAGCCACAGACAAGAGTAATCTTATGGGTTTCATCCTGGAGAGAGATGAGACACAATTAGTTATTCATGCATTCTGCATCTGCAAATAAAGGTTCCAAAAGGTTTTTTTTGCACCAAGGCCATATAAGAATAATTTTTTTGTTCCCCAAAGGACCTTTATAGTGAACAGTTCTTAAAAGAACCATTGTTTTTCTTAGTGTGAAAAACTTTTTAAAAATCTAACAAACATTTCCACTATAAAGCACCAATTTTGGTTCACCAAAGAACCTTTCAGTGATCAGTTCTTAGAAACATTTTTCTTTGTGTGAAGAACATTTTAAAAAAATCTAAAGAACCATTGCCAAGAACCTTTTGTGCAATGGAAAGATTCCACACTCTCAAATATAAAGCATCCAAAAGGGGTTCCCAAAAGAACCTTTTAGTGAATAGTTCTTAAAAGGACCTTTTTTTCTTATTGTGAAGAACATCTTAATATTCTAAAAAAACTTTTTCCATTGCAAAGAACCCTTTGTGCAGAAGGTTTCCATAGATGTTAAACATTCTTCATGGAACCATAGATGCCAATAAAGAACCTTTATTTTTTAAAGAGTGTATAATGACATTTGAAAGTCAAGAAATGTTTAGTTGTAATAAACCTAGATCATTCAGTAACTCAAATATCTCAAACTTACCTGTAGGACAAGCTTGTAGGATCACAGCGCTGATTGTTGTGCAGAGGTTGTGTCTTGAGACTGTGTTTGGTTTGATCTGGTTTAGAGGCTGCACACCGCCTTTTATAAGGCCACGGCAGTAACGGACCATAAGCCAAGGCTAATAACACTAAATTTAGCTAAGCTTTGGCCTTGCATGCCTGACAGGAAGAGTGTGTGTGCTGAACGGAGAGTAGAGAGGAAGCTGACCAATGGGACCCCGCCGCAGCTGCCCCAAATGTTTACTTTGCAGGAACAATGAGGCCCTGGGAGCCCTCAGCCCTCCACCTACATGACACTTGACTGCACTCACTCACAATTACAACAGCTCCCGACACCATTACAATATTTTATTTTGGTCACAGGCTTTTGTTGAAGAACAGGTCCTCACAGATCCATTGGTGGAAAGTCTGGTGGGCTGCAGCTCTGACCGCTGTCTTGCTTTGTGTCTGTGTTGAATGATTATTTAGTTAAAGAATCACAAGAATCTCCTGTTGAGGACTGAACAATTGAGAATTTAATAAAGTTCTGTGAAATCAGAACATAAATAGCCTAGGACTGAAATGAGATGTTGACACAAGTTCTTCCATCTATATAATTATGTAAATGTCACCATAAAGGAGTTTGTTTAAAACACAGTGGTTTTGTGGTTTGTTGAATTAACGTGTCACTGTGGGGCTTTAAGTTGAAATGCAGCTGTGGTAATAATATAAGATGTATAATGTTCACATGTGAATTGTGTTTTCTCGCCTCAGATTCACCTTTCAGCTAAAACCAAAGTTATACAGTAGAGCTACGAAAGGTGCTCATCATATTAGGATAAATCCTTTAATTGCACAAAAATAGAAGGTTGTGACAGGTTGATCTGCTACAATTAGTTATTTTAAGCAGCTGTCCTGAATCTTGCTGAATGTTTAATCTCTGTGGTATTTTTAGCTCTGTCAAATGCAGTAGTAAGACATTATTGTGCTTTGCATGTGAATGGAAGAGACTAATCTACTTTGTTGACTTAGGCCTTGATAGGATTAAGACTGTGATTAAGTGGCACGTTTCTGCTTGAAAGTCTATCTATCTATCTATATATCTATCTATCTGTCTGTCTGTCTGTCCGTCTATCCATCTAATAATACATTGAATAATACATCTGGTACTTCTGCTATATTGTTGTACTCCTCCCAAAGTGACTTTCCATAACTTCACCGCCTCCAATTGAATATCTGCGGTTTGCAACTGCCTCTTCAGCACGTACACTTGAAACAGAGCTGAGACACGAGCCAGCAGGATTTCCTCCATCTGACAAAAGAGTTAATGATTATTATTATTTCTTGCAGGAGGAGGATGAGCTGTTCGTGGAGGGTTTACTCAACATCTCCTGGGGCCTGAGGAGGCCAATCAGACTCCAAATGTACGATGACGAGCGCTTTCGATACGCCTGCACGGGTGCGTGGAGGTCGGAGAGCTCAGAGTCCAGCAGGTGGGTGGAACTGCCTGAATGCTGCTGCTACACCACACCCAGATGTGTCCTTTCCTTCATTAGGTCATAACTCCATCTGTTTTTCTCTCTACCTCAGTCATAGACGTCTCAAGACATGAGCCAGGATTTGATATGGGCGTAGGGCTTTTTTGTAGGTTAAATGGCTGCTCCTTTATTTTCTCGGTCAGCTCAGATTTGATCATACTGTATAGATGCTGTGTACTTTTCCTAAAAGCCTATATAATTCAACAAGTAATTCTGTTGGTGTTTATGACCTGTGGCCATTGTTAGAAAGGTTTGTTTTGAGGAACATTTTGACATATGGGTGAAACTAAGTGAAAGCTGCGGTTATGTGGCATTGCTCAACAGAGGAACTGGATATTCAGAGTCCTGGGCTACTTCTTATTCTCACGTGCAGCACTCTTCTCTATCATGGAAATTTTAATCAGCTTTAATGTTCAAAGCTGCAGCAACCTTGATTTGATACTGTGAGCAAAAAGATTCAGCACGTGAGGATAAGACGACTGTCATTGTGCTAGCAGTTTATACAAGTAAATTGTAATATTGTGTAGCAACAACAGATAAATCAGAGTAATCAGGTGTTTCTTTTTCCAATGAAATATTCCAGTTACTCTTTTTAATAGTAAAAAATATTTACATGAATTGAATTAATTAGTTAATTATTGGCATTTTCCAGGGTTATTGTAATTAGCTAAAAGTAAAACTAAAACCATAAATAATGTCCCTATATCCCAAATATTAGTAACAAAAATTAGATTTCAAATTTTCCAAATGTCATTTAAATAAACAATAGACAATAAAACTCATAAAATGTAAAATGATCTCTTGAGATGGACAAACTAAGTTTTTTTAAACGTTTCCTTTTACTAAACCTTTCTTTACAAAAAAAAATTATATTAGCTATTTTTGTAACTCATCCATGAAAATTATTTTTTATAAAGCTTAGTTTTCCATTATGTATTTAAATTGTGTTTTTATTGTTTACAGGAATGAAAATGCTGAACACCAGTTTTGTTCAGAGCCCAACAACAACAAAATCAGTGCCTCACCTGCACCCAGTGAGTATGAAAATGATCCATATCTCTCCACACACAATTAGGAAGATCTTATCAAAGATGTTATTGATTTGTGTTGTAAAATTGAAAACATTGGTGGTTGTTATAGATTATAATTATTAACTGAACTAAATGCATATCTAGATGTTCACCACATGTTTACAACACATCAATGAATGCCTCATCTTAATATTAGCCTGCTCTTGTCTCTGGTTCCGCTGCAGGTGTGCATGGTGCTGAGGAGGACGTCCCTCAACTGCTGAGAACAAGAAGTGACGCGAGCTTTGTGAATATCCAAAGAAGATCCAAAATCCACAACACTGACGATTCACAGAGGATAAAAAGACACCGCTTCTCCATCAACGGCCATTTTTACAACCACAAAGTCATTTTTTGTTTTACTTTGACGTTTTTACTTTAAAGGGGTCATATGATGCGATTTCAAGTTTTCCTTTCTCTTTGGAGTGTTACAAGCTCTTGGTGCATAAAGAAGAAGACATCCTACTAGTATCGGTATCGGTGCATCCCTATCTCAAATCCAAAGAGATATTCTTTATAAAAATTAAGAGTCAGCCTGAACATTAAAGCATGTCAACATATTCTGTTACACCAAATACACAAAATAATGATCTTTAAAATAGCATCATATGACCCCTTTAATATAATAAAAAGCACAGTTAACCTTAGTGCACTTGAACAGTGACTATCTATAAAGCTTTCACCTATATCAGCAGGGCAGTGTCTCAGATGGAAGGCAGAGATGAGTTGGAACTACTCCATGCTCCAAGTTCAGGACAATAGTACAATAATGCTCATTGAAAGACAGCACGCCTTGTGCCTGGCAAGGGGCCTGTGCTCTCATAAAGTGCCACAGCAGCATCTGTGATAGGAAGTGTCCGTCGTCTAAGTGTTTATGTTGTACATCAGTGTTTTGAGATGGATGCAGGTGCTGAGAGGCAGTGTTTTCCTGTGCAGGCCTTCCCTTTGGCTGCACCATGTGCTTTTATTATCAATTGTCATCTGCTTCTCTCTTAAATGGTCCTTTAAGGTCATATGATTTGGCCTGGTGCCTCTGCAGAGATAGATAGATAGATAGACAGACAGACAGACAGACAGACAGATAGATATTTCAGATACTATTATATTTTTTATGTTTTTGATTTTATTTGATGTATATTCTGCTTTCATTTTAATTACAGTTTTAGTAATTTTTTTTGTTATGTTTTTTTAGTTCATTTTTATTAGTTACAGTATGTTTGTTTTAATATAGTTTTTTATTCATTTTATTTCAGTTATAGTTTTAATTATACATCAAGTTACTTATACTTTACTTATACTTAGTACATCAAGTTACTGAATGAAATAAGAAATGTTGCTTTGGCAACTAGCTGAAATAAAATAGGTTTAAATTTTTTTAAATATTTTATTTTATTTCTATTGTTTATTTTATTACAAATAGTGTGAAGCACGAAAGGGAATAAACCTAAAAAATGAACTATAGAAACACTGTGTTTTGTTTCTGCCATTGCTGCTTTTGTTTTGTTTTTGATTATGGTTTTTACAGCAATTGTACACTATAATTTATCGTTGCTTTATTGTGAACAAAAAAGTGTCTGCTAAACATATCTGAATGAAATAATCATCTGTTGACAAAGATAAGATTGATGACCACAGATTATATTACCGGTCATATTTCATTATTCTATATTGTACAGTAAGAACATTATATTCATTTTAGTGCAGCCTATATTTTTTCAAATCTCATATGCCAAATTTGACACTAATTGTGTACCACATAATTTATGAAAGATTACTCAATTAATTATTGCTGAAATTGATCTCCTTTTTGCACATTTTCTTTACAGACATCAGTTTTTACTCCATCATATGGATCAGTGACTAATGTGCGAGTGAACAGCACTTTGACAACACAGCAAGTTCTTAACCTGCTTCTTAATAAGTTTCGGGTAAGTTTTCCCTTATTCAGCTGAATGCCACAATCTTTTACTCCTTGTTAATTCCCTGTTCTGTACTTCGGTACAGGTTGAGAATAAGGCAGATGAGTTTGGCCTCTACCTAGTCCACGAATCAGGGGGTAAGGCTTTGCATTCCGAACTTATTTTTAACAAAAGTCAACTGATCTGCAGATTATACGATTTTTTCCCCATCTTTTGTCTTTAGAGAAAACAAAACTTAAGGACACAGAATATCCTTTGGTATCTCGTCTGTTGCATGGTCCATGTGAAAAAATCGCCAGAATATTTATTATGGAAAAGGACCTTGGTGAAGAGATTACATATGATGTAAGTATTTTGTATATTTGTACAGTTCACAATAGGTCATTCAGAACGTGCTTTCCCTGGCAAACTTACATTCTGTTGTTCAAATATAGATGCAGTAAACAATAGTTACTTCCAAATGCTACATATCAAGTCTAATTTTAGGATCCTATCCTAGGGACTAACAATAGTACAAATATTTCTATTGCAGACTAAGGCCCCTATTTTAACGATCTAAGCGCATGGTAAAGCGCACGGCGCAGGTGCACTCAGGGCGTGTCCGAATCCACTTTTGCTACGGTCGGCGCGCCCGGGCGCATGGTCTAAACGGGTTGTCCCTATTCTCTTAATGAGTAATGGGTGTTTTTTGGGCGTAACGTGCAATAAACCAATCAGAGTCTCATCTAGCAAAAACACTTGCGCCGCGCCTTGCGCTGCATTGCGCCGGGTGTATGATAGGGCCCTAAACATTCAATGTAAAATGAAAATGTTGATGCACAAGTTGCAAGTTCTCTTTGCTATTTTTGTTAATATTCAAAATATTCTGTGCTTATATTTCAACGGTTAATGCATTAATGCATTGTCTTACAGGTTGCACAGTATATTAAGTTTGAAATGCCTGTTTTGGACAGTTTCATCAATAAATTGAAAGAGGAGGAAGAGAGAGAGATTTTAAAACTAACAAGAAAGTAAGTTTCACAAAATTCTGTTTCACAAAATCAACACAGTGTATTCATTTTAATCTGTTGTACTCTTATTTTTCACAGATACAGTGCACTGAGGTCAATGATGTTGCAAAAATTGGATTGCATCTCTAACACTACATATTATGTGTGAGAAAATATGCTGGCAGTTTAGATCAGAGGCATCTTCTCTGTTGTACAGTCAACAGCAGTGAGCCACAGATTGCTAGTTTTAGGTTTTTCATTTTGGTGAAGGCATCAGTGGAATAACTAGTATATAAAAAGTATAGGCTACTGTAATTAACAACTAGTAATTAGCAACTGTAAGTATTTTTACCCACAATTCTCAGGCGTTACAAATTACCTAGAATGTTATTTTATGATGCACTTATGCTCCATGACTTAAAAGACAAACCATTTTTTGTTTGTTTGTTAAACTTAGAATATACACCCCTAGCATGTTTCTACAGTAACAATATTACAAATAAAACTAATAGGCTATATGAGGAATTGTGTTCATTTGGTCTCATGTTTGTTTTGCTAACATACTGTACAGTGTCGTGAGTTTTGTACTCGCATATAGAATATCTAATTCATGACACCTTTAATAAATTCCAGCAGACTTTGGACAACATTAAAAGTCAGTTTGCTATTATCATTATATTTAAAATTGATGCTCATGAACCTATTCTTACAATACAATCTCTTAGTGCTTCATTACATTATCTCTTAATCACTGTTTTATCGCTTGAGAAAAAATGTTGTGCTGTTTCCCTCAGGTTCACAATGAGTATTTCTTATTGTTCTTTGAGTGACCCATGCACTGAGTCAGTTCCCACAAGCGATAAAAGCTCATGTTATTGAGACTAAAGATATGAAGTCAGTGCCTTCTGGCTGGAGAACCCATGTTACACAGTGGGAGGCATCCTGGGAACAAGGAACATTACATTACTCCAGGTGGTTCCCTCTTCCTTTAAACTTTGCGCTTGTGTACACTTGTCAGTCTTTTATGCCACAAAACATCATTCTATTGTATGATATGTTAGTTGTGATTTGTAAATAATGATTTTAAATGTTTTTGTATTTAATAACGTGATTTGTAACTGAAATGTATTTTTATATTCTATTTTTGGGAACAATTCAGGACTATTTCTGGCTTCAGTAATACAAGCTTTTAACTTCTTATGTATTTTTAACACTATTATCTGAGGAAACCCAGGAACTTAGCCTTTTCTGTGTTTAGACCATAGAATGTAAAAAAAAAAAAAAAACAGCTTTGTAACTGTTTGGGTTGCTAATGTTAACGTTACCAACAAAATAAAAATTTAGCATCGGCAAATAATAATATACTGCCCCCTTCTGGCCAGAAACAGTTTATGTTTTATGCTTTCTAAGTGAAAGTACCTAACAGAAAGGCTGTAAAATACATTTTGGTCGTTAGGGTGTACAAAATGGCGTATTAATGCGGATAATTAAGTATAAATTCAAGACCTGTCGTTTTTATACATGTCATAATTGACATTTAAGGTGCTAAAATGAAAAATTCAGCCAAAAATGGTTAATAATGTAATAATAATAATAAACGTTAAATTTGTATCATTTCCCAAAAGTTGGCTAACGTTACCTACATCATCAGTGAAAATCAGTAAAATGAATAAATACGAAAAATAAATAGCTATTTATATATGACACATGACCAGGCATTACGTTTGGAGGGAACATCTGACGAAAACAAATAATAAAATAAAAATATTAATTTAAAGTATCGAGTGCTTATAAAGGTCAACGGAAATTACTTCGTTTGTTGTGTGCAATGAAAGTAATATGACCTGTTAAAATAGACCAGTTTAACCTTTTCAGATATTTTAAAGTAACAGAGAGGAACCATGCAGACAGTCATATTTCCATAGAATGATTGAGTCAAGCGTCTCGGTGACGTACTCGGGGATCAAGTACAGTTCAGGGAGGAGCGTTGAGCAGAAGTCCTCAGATGAACTAAACGTTTAGTTCTGTCTCCCAAGAGAGTGATCGTGTACGAACAGATTCAATGGCACTACGTTCAGCTAGTGATTCTCAAATATTTATAATCGGATGCGGCGTCTCGGGAATTGGTGCAGCTCAGAAATTACTAAAACACGGTTTTCATAATGTACACATCATAGAAGCGACTGCGAGAAGCGGTGGGAGAATACGAACGGGCAGACTGGGTATGTACAGGCATATAATTTGATTCACTGATGGAGAAATTTAGGTTTTATAAGTTATTTAAATTTGTTTACTTTCGTCATCTTATATGATGACTCGCTGCCGTCTCCTGTCATTTCCTATGACAGGCCTACATGAAAATGGGTTAGCATGTTATTTTTACTTAGAATCTAACGATGTGTATAATTATACTGATATGTAGCATTCAGTAGCACTGCAATGTGTTTTGCAACTAGTAACATGTAGCGACTGTATTCGTGGGCGGAGCTTAACTGCACTTCTGTAAATGGGGCACTTTGTCTGTATCAGTGGATCTCAACCAGGGACCTTAGCAAACTTAATAATTATTTAAATTTTTGGAATGAAAAAATTAACTGTAGTTAGTTAATGTATATATATATAACCTTATATTGGGGGGCCTTTGATTCAAAAAGGTTGAGAAGTGTTATTAAGGTTTTGAGTTAAAGTCCATTTTTTTCTATAGCTGTTGGGTTAACACGTGAACCCAATAAAACCACACTGGAATACGGACAGGCAAGGGTCAACTATGTGATGAAAGTACATTTTAACTAATAGGTTGAATCGTTCTGAGGACAAAGGTATTCTTTGTAAATGTCAGGTTAGGGCAAGTTACAAACTTAAAGGAACACGCCACTATTTTTGAAAAATAGGCTTATTTTCCAACTCCCCTAGAGTTAAACAGTTGAGTCGTGTTCCTTTAAGCAATTTTTTAACTACAGTATTTCTTGGCCACAATTAATGGTTTGATATACTTTTTTACCTTCAATGTTTTTGCTGTTTTCTTGTGTTGTTTTGTATTATACTTGTTTTACTTTTTAAATTTAGGCATATTGCCACAAGAAGTCTTATGTGTTTTCAGTGTTGAATATTTCAAATATTTTCAATTTTCTTTTGTTGCCAAGACTAGAATGTACTCTGGGAAGTATTCAGTAGAGTGAAAGGCTAGCCCTGGTCTTCTCCATAGATGTATATCACATTTATTTTTTTCCATTCATTCAAGGTGATAACATTGTAGAGATCGGCGCCAACTGGATCCATGGCCCATCAAAGGAAAATCCAGTATTTCGTTTGGCATGTGACTACCAGCTCCTTGACAAAGAGTCAATGTCTGAAGAAAACCAGACTATTGACATTGGTGGTCATCCGCTGTTTGTTCCTAACTGGTTTACCAGTTCAGGTCGGAAACTGGGGCCTGAGACGATGGGGCCAGTGATGGACTTTTTCATGAAATTACTGGAAAAAAGTCAGCAGTTCCATGACGGTGGTGGAGAACCTCTACCGAGTGTTGGGGAGTTCATCAAGGCAGAGGTTGAACGACTGGCCCCTGAGGAGTGGAAGGAGGACCAGGCTAACATTGCAATAATAATGGCCATGATAAACACACTGCTCAAGCTGGAGTGCTGTGTCAGTGGAACTCACACGATGGATGATGTAGGCCTGGGAGCCTTTGGCATGTATAAGACTCTTCCAGGATTGGACTGCATTTTCCCAGGGTGAGTGATCAGAGCCTTTTCTTGTACATTTTGAAGTGCCTCAATTATCCAATTCCAAAATGCTAAATCTTGTAAAGTTTGCAAACTAAACATGTTCATGCACTCTTTTTCCTCCTAGAGGTTACGAAGGTTTAATTGATCACATGATGATGGAACTTCCCAAGGACGTAGTCTTGTACAACAAACCAGTGAAGTGCATTCACTGGAACTACACCAAGAATGGACCAAAAACTACAGGAACATCATTCCCTGTTATGATTGAATGTGTTAATGGAGAGACATTTGCAGCAGATCATGTTATTGTCACTGTCCCACTGGGTACATATAGATTCAGCATGACTTGTTGGCTTAGTGAACAATTTGCATCTAAAGCTTATTTGCAGCTTATAATATTGGTTTGGTAATTGCAAATAGCATAATCTATTCATTTTAAATGCATGCACTTTAAAGTTGATTTTTAAATAAATACACTGGGAACAGTTAATACAAAGTACTGCCTTTATAGAGTGGTGCAGGTATGACATCAGAATCCAGAAGACTAGTCATCGCTGGTTCCTTCAAGATTTTCCTATGGGGTTTTTGTAATGGGGTTTTTTAATTTATGAGTAAAATAAAGCTTGTGGTAAACATAACTTGACGATACTATGATGTTTTGTTCTATAACACACACTCACACCCCAAACTGTCTTATTTAGTCACTTATTATGAACCTACATTTTCAAAAATAAACATAACTGCTTCAAAATGTGCTTTTTCAGTATAGGTGTGTGCAGTTTACATTGTAAAACAAATGTCAAAGCATCGTCATGTTGCCTTTATTTTACTCATAAATTTAAAAAAAATTATAAAACCCCATAGGAAAATCTTAAGGAACCAGTGGCGAATTAGTATTCCAGGTTTTGATGTCATACCTGCACCACACTATTTTTGTCTGATTTACAAAGTCAGATGATTGATTTAGTTTTTTCTCCTCATTTTCATAGTATAGCTCAGCGGTGGCGAACTCCAGTCCTGGAGAGCCGCAGCCCTGCAGAGTTCAGCTCCAACCCTAATTAAAGCTCACCTGCCTGTAGCTTCCTAGTAACTGTTCAGACCTTGATTAGCTTGTTCAGGTGTGTTTGATTAGGGTTGAAGCAAAACTCTGCAGGGCTGCGGCTCTCCAGGACCGACGTTCGCCACCCCTGGTATAGCTTATAAGATTTTTTAAAAATATATATATAATTTTCATTTTTTTATATAAATAAAAAAAATTATTTTCATAATGTTGCTTCATAACTTTATTGTTACAGTATCTGCAAGGCCTTTAACTCATCTGATGTACATTTTTCATTACAGGATACCTGAAGAAGCACCAGAGCACTTTTATGAGCCCTCCTCTTCCACTGCACAAATTGCACTCCATCCAGAGAATGGGCTTTGGGACCAACAACAAGATCTTTCTTGAGTTCGAGCAGCCTTTCTGGGATGAAGACTGTGAAGTGATCTACCTCGTATGGGAGGACGAGACACATCTTGCTGATGTTGTTTCTGATGTAAAGATGTCCTGGATTAGAAAGTTAATTGGGTTCAATGTGCTGAAGCCCACAGAGAGGTAAACATAACCTTTGATTTTGATTTTCTTTGATCTTCAAATAGTGCAATTTGCGGCATTATAAATCTGACATTTCTTTTCTGATGTTGTGCAGATATGGACATGTGCTCTGTGGATGGATCGCAGGGTGGGAGTCTGAGTACATGGAAACTCTGTCTGAACCTGAAGTGCTGCACAGTGTCACACAGCTCCTGCGCATATTTACTGGTAACATTTTTACTTTGTACAAGAGATTTACAGCTTAATAGGACATCCTTTGATGGGGTCCAAAAGTCTGAGACCACGCTGGAAAAGTAGGATTAAAAATCTAATTTAATACCTGGAAATATACAGATCAGCTAACATGAATAAATGAATAACCTATTAAATTTTTCATAATAATTTTCAGGAAATCCAACTATTACACCAAGGAAGCTTTTAAGATCTCGATGGTTCCATGATCCCTATTCCTGTGGATCTTACACCTATGTGGCCAAAGGTTGCTCAGGATATGACATAGATAACCTTGCTGAACCCTTGCCACTGAAAGGCTCAAATTCTAAGGTGCAACTACTCTCATTTTGTCAATGTTTGTTCAAGCAACTAGCTTTCATTCTTCTTTATGAGCAGTGTGCTATTTTCCCTTTACTCTTGCATTTCTTTAAATTATTATTTGATAATATCTTATAAACATGAATGACACTTTGTTTTTGCAGTCTTTGCAGGTGTTAT